TTTAGTCGTCTCATTTAGACACTTGTTAGCAACCGCCATTTTTTAAATTCCCCAGTGGGTGCAGCACTCTATATTTATGCTTATATCAGTGAACCTACCTCAGGCACTGGATCCAACAGAGAGGCCTTCAGTCCAGGAATAACACTCGGCAGGTAAGGGGACAGATCCTATAAACAAACAGCAACAGTCAGTATTATATCTGATGAAACACTTTACTGTAATGCAGCCTTTAAGACGGGCTAAAAACAGCACTTTCTGGATTCCTTGTTCAGAGTACTGCTGCCAGTCGTGCTGTTTACCTTCTGGTCCGTGAGGGAGTACATGTTTCCGATGATCTGCGCCGCCATCTTGCGGGTGTCGGTGGATCGGTCCTGGAAGGCTCTCTGCACGATGGGCATGATGAGGGCGAGGGACGGAGCGTCGATGAAGTGAACGAACTTAGTGTCGAGAAGCGTCTGGAGACAAGTCTGAGTCCTGCGGGACGGCTCTGTGAGGGCGTCCAATAGGATGGGGGTGATCGCTGACAGGGGAACAGATTAAAGTGGTATTAAATACTGGTTTGCTTATACATGGAGAGCATTTCAATGGAAAGTAGTTACGAGATATTTCCGAACACCAGAGATAATGTCAAAAATGGGCCAAACACATATTAAGTTATGTTGGAGGAACTGTGGGAAGTCATACTCATATATTTTGGTTAAGCCCTAAAGTACATATATTTTGGAAAGAGATATTTGATGCTCTTAAAGAAGTGGTCCAGCAGAATATTGCTGTAGATCTGATCGTAGCTCTACTGGGAGTTTTACCTAAGTCCAGTATTTCAGGGAATCTAATCCAGGAATTTTGGGGCCACTTACCCAACATTTTAGGATTATCTAATCAGGGTTTTTGGCATTTTCTTACCGATGATTTAGGGCTCACTTACCCAGAATTGTTGGGGTTATTTAACAAGTATTTGGTTTATTTTTAGGGCCACTTACTCAGGATTTGAAGGTTGCTTACACCATATTTCAAGGTTAATCATCCAGTATTTTGGGGCCACTTTCCCAACATTTTAGGGTTATTTAAATCAGGGTTTTTGGCATTTTTACCCAGGATTTAGGAGTAATTTAGCCAGGATTTCTGGGTTACTTATCCAGGATTAAAGGGACATTGAGGTTATTTACACCGGGTTTCACGGTTAACCACCCAGTATCTTTGGAACCACTTACCCAGGATTTCGGGGTTGCGGATGACGGAGCCAATGAGGCGCAGCGCCTGCTGTCCGGCCTTCTGCACCTTCACGTGGGAGTCGGTCAGCACCTCGGTCAGTTTGGGCACGATGTTGGGCAGACAGGAGGAAAGCTGCTTGGGGGCGCAGAACGCCATCGCACCGAGCAACTCCACCGAGCCTGAGGAAGAACAGGAAGAAGCTATTATCAACAACAACAACATACCCAGTAATCTACAGACATATGCTATCAGAATATACCGAATCAGAATGTCTTTATTCGTCCAACAGTTTACACGTACTGTAACAGTTCTGAAGATATAGCAGCCAGGTATATATCGCACAGTTATTAACGGCTGTGAAATCTAATGTCTCCTACTCTGTCAATGCATGCACCACACACACTGAGGGTAGCCGGTTCAAGCCCCAAAATCGACAAATTAGTAATAAGTATTAGAGTGTGGACTGGTAGAGGCACCGGACCCCCACATTACTCCTGGGCGCTGTGTATATAAATCTTTAACCCTTTAAGAGTGTTTCACTTTAGAAATAATCCCCAAAACTGCCATAAAATAAGGTCGAAATATGAAAAATAAAATGTAATGTAACCAACTCACAAAAGTGTCATTTGAGAAAGAAAAAAAGGGACATGGATGAGTTCAAGCAGTACACACACACGCAGTACACACACACGCAGTACACACGCAGTACACACACACACACAGTACACACACACACGCAGTACACACACACGCAGTACACACACACACACACAGTACACACACACGCAGTACACACACACACACACACACACACACACACACACACCTCGGGATTCCTGTGTGTCTCACCTGCTTTGGTTCTCCAGGACTCTTCCTCCAGAGCCACCAGCAGAGAGGGGAGGACCAGCTTCACCCCGTGGGCACTCAGGTTCCTCATCACTGCTTTAGCACAGTCATCTGCAGCCTGGAGGAGGAAGAGGAGGAGGAGGAAGAAACTTTAGAAATGTCTGGACACAACGTATATGATAGAATGTATCGAAGTTTCCTAAATGAGTTCCTGTTTAATACATCTCATGTTTCAGTAAGCTCTGTTTTAATATGGATTTTTATTGAAGACACTACAAGTGAACAGGGTTGAAAATTAAACTAATAGATATAACTAAGAAAATTCCACAGTTCATTACTGACATTAAGTCAATATTCTTTTGTATTACAAGTTGTATTAAACATTATGCCTTCATATGCAAATGAGGCCTTGTCTGATGAAATATGGGCTAATTTGCATTCATTTTCAGAAGAAAAAAGGTGATGATTTGATCAAATGTGGTTCAGAATTCGTGTTTTATCGTATTAATCTAAAAGAAATGTAACAGATATTGAATGAGGCTCTGGATATATATTTTATTTTTCCTTACCTCTCTGACGTATTGGTTCCCGTCTCCAAAGCAGAGCAGCAGGTGAGGCAGCACGTGGACGACGTACGGCTCGAACAGCTTCCCCAACATGTTGCACAGCATCTCAAAGGCAAACAGAGAGCCTGGAGAGACACACAGCGAGTCAGGGAGGAGACTATCATCATTACAACACATGTCAGAAATGAGTGAAGTCCTCTCAAAGTACGACGTGTCTTGTTTTGTTAGTCCACGATGCATAAATATTCACTTTCACATGATATAAAAAACGGAAAGAAACGACCTAAATAAACCCCTCAGAGTAAATGCCTGCTTTTTCAGATCTTGAACTTAGTGCATTGTAGAGCTGTCCCGAATACCATCTTTTGGGCTCCGGATATTCTGTAGTAATCAGCAGCGAACCACTTCAACACGTGTATTTCGGTGTTTTCACGGCATTCATTTTGTTATTCTGAAGTATTGTTGTTTTATAGTTATTTGTTAATAAAACCCAATTTGTGTTCTTTGAAATTGAAAAGGATATCGCATTGTGTGTGTGTTCCTTTAGTGTAATTTGGCTTGGCTTCCTATTTTGTATGGACATGCTTTTATTTTGAAGGAGAGTTAGCGCTGTAGACAGGAAGTTGTTGTTGCTATGGAAACAACGTGAAGGAGATTAACGGAGAAAAGTAATATCTACATATAAAGACGGAGAAAGTAAACGATAACGTTTATGGTTAAGTGTTAGCACCCCCCGAAGAGGCACAAGCTCTTACGTTGATATTGGAGATTTCAATAAATTCAATTTGGAAAAAAAAACGGGAAAAAAACGAAAAAACAAACAAAACCAATATCCGAGTAACGAAATTGAAACCCGAATAGTACTCCAACGAACGAATATTCGGATATCCGGGTACAGCCCTAGTGCATTGGTAAATAAATAATGTACTATAAGAAGATTATGAATTTTCCCAAGTTAAGTAATAGTCTTGGACAATGGCTCATGGTCTCATGTCACAATATCAATATTACATCAATCTGACATGAGACATAACCCTGGGGTGTAAATGATCACAAACCAATGAACGTCACATACCTTCCCTGCGTCTGAAGTTCTTCTTGTCCTGGATGCCGTCGGTCAGCGTGCTCATGATGTCCTGCTGCTTCAGAGCCAGGATGCCCAGACCTTTCACCAGTCCGGCCAGTCCGTACGCGGCTCCTTTCCTCTCGGCGTACTTATCGCTCTCCAGAAGCAGCTGCAGAAGATTCCTCACGATCCCCGCAGCG